CATGATCACTGTCTCCGTTGTCGTTTTTGTCTCCGCTACCATACACCACCTTATTTTCTTACATTTCATTGGAGAGAAAGAGAGATGTGGAAGATGAGTGTGAGAAAGAAAGAGGATGAGAAAAATGAAAGCGAGATAGAACAATGTGAAGAAGATGAGTGTGAGAAAGAAAGAGGGTGAAAAAGATGAAAGTGAGATAGAACAATGTGAAGGAGATGAAACAGAGAGGAAATACAAAGTGAAAAAAGAGAAAAATACATAAGGATAAAAGTGTCTTTTGGTGTTGAGAAGAAAGAAAAATATAGTAGAATTTAAAAAGGTTTGAGATCGTGGTAGATAAGGAATTTTATAATAAGCGGTAGCGTGGGTAATTTTTCCAATTTGTAAATTTTGCCATTTTGCAAAAGATATCCCCAAATTTTGTTGCCGTCACAAAAAGACCTTACGTCGGTTGGGGTTGACCTGAACGGAGATTCTTATAATCCCCCGTACGCTGATATTCCTCGGTTCGAATTTCCGGCGATCAGAAATTACGTGGGTGAATTTTGATGGCAATTCGCAATTCAGAAGAAAAGCTGCCGATTTCCTTGAAGAATCTCGACTTGAATACGAATCGTGCACCAAAGAATAAGATTCTTGTTTCAGCGTATCTATCTTCCTCACGTAAGCCTCGCTTTCTCACATTCTCTTTATGTGCCCGATGGTTTACTTTGTTCCTTCGATGGAAGGTGCCTGCCTGAAGAGGTTTCTTTCACTCGAAGCATTAAAGTCGATCTTATTTCCTCGAGCTGGGTTAATTAAGAAATTGAATCGTGGTTACTGTTTTTGAGGGTTTTGAGGTTTAGGAGTTGGATTCTGACATGTTATCTTCTGCTGCTTTGCTTCAGTCACAGGAATGTCTGCATTGAAAACAGGACCTCCATCTCTTGTAAGCTTATGTCTTGGTGTTGTTGGGAGGCATTTGGAGGAACTTATTCCTTGTTTACCTGATATCTCTGTCGTTTTTCCTGCCGACATTAAGGTTATTTTAGCATCAGTGTTTCTCTTCTTCTTCTTCCAAGATGTATTATTGCCAATGCCTTTAAAGTCTTTTTTATTGTCGGTTTAGGACTATGCCTTTGCTAATCAGTGGCGTATTCATGTGCAACAGATGTCGATTGTAGCCATTGCTAAAAGAAGAAAGCTACTGGATGATGATTTGATTGTCTCTCTGGCTGACAGTTCCTGGGAAATTCTAGATATTAGCGGTTCAGATGTTTCGGATTCTGGCTTAGCTAAAGTGGCGGAAATGTGCAAATCTCTCCGGGCTGTGGACATTAGGTATTATAGTTACTTACAAAGAATCAACTTAATCTATGAGCCTTGGTCCTTGAAAATCTTTCTCTCTGTAGTTTGTACCTCACTGTGTGTATGTGTTTAATTGGTAGTACTGACTTAGATGGGTAGCATGATGCTTTCTCTATGTGTTTTTTAAGCTTTGATCGGGTTTTGGGAACCATTTACTTCCATTGAGTGGGAACTGGGAAGAACATAACCTGCAAAAACTTATCTCTGATCGTGTTCGTTTGGGTAGATTTTCACAGGCTTCAATAGTGAATTTAATCGTAGCTCTGATATTGTTGTTTCTTAAGCTACGAGCTCCTTTATGTTATTAAATAAGTGTTGTTTGTTTGCCCTCCCTCCAGTATAATATAGTTGCTACATTGTTATGCAGCCGGTGCAATAAAATCACATCCATGGGTGTCTCAGAGCTCGTACAACACTGCCGATCACTGGAGACTTTAAGATGCGGGTAAACTTTTTTCGCTCCAGCTAACTGCAGTAAACTGACCTTATATGTGTTGTTGTTATTGGGTGGCTTTTCTATTTAGTCATGAATTAAGTGTTTTCCTGGGCAAAGTGAGATAGAATTTTAAACCATAGTGTGTGGGTTTTGACTAGGGCTAACGAACTCTATAAAACAGGCAATGAGACAAAAAAAAAAAATTAATATTGCAGAGGATGCCCGAGCAGTGAGTCCACTGCACGCAGATCTTTGAGTATATTTAAGCCAAACTTGAGTATTATTGAAGGAGAAACATGGGAAGAACTAGATGCTACAGAGATTGGTCAGGGTGCTCAATCAATGCGTTGGCTTGTGTGGGTACGTATTGTCCCTCTGACTGATAAGCTGCAATTACACTTTACAGATTGTAATTTGGTTTTTCTGCAGCCACGCATTGATAAGGATTCATTGGAGATGCTATCCATGGAGTGCCCAAGAATAGTGGTAAATCCCAAGCCCTCATTTCTCACTTACAGTCTACACGAGGTTCCTCGAGAAGCGTTACCAGATGTTGCACTCGATGAGCCGTTTGTGAAAGATATCGATCCTGAAACGTGGGTTGGTAGAGGAGTTGTGCAGAATCTCACGTCCTCTCCACTAACCTTGACCTCCAATGAGCTGCCAATAGCAGAGAAGTTCAGACTAGCATTTGCAGAGAGAGATGCACGATTGGCCCCTAAACGAGCAAAGAATGCAAGGCAACATCAACGTCGTGCTGAGAGGGATTGGATGATGTCAAGTGACAAAGCCAAAGCAATGGTTTTGGCATCAAAGGCCACCAGATCTTTGTACAAGAGTTAATTTACAATGGATTCTCTTCATAAAGAGGCGTCAAAGAAACAAGAGGAAGAAGATCAGCAGACTAAGCATGCTCTTCTCTACTGTGGTCGTGTTGAATCATTTCACAGCAGGTTCTTTTGGGAAGCAAAGCGAAGAGAGAAGAACAGTGGCTACTCACCAAAAACTGTTCCTTCACTCTTATTTGCAGATGTTTTGTTAATGATACAATTTAAGTGGTACAAAACGAATTATGTAATATAGAATGAACTCTGCGTGCGTCCCTTTTTGCATTTTATGATAACAACACTTGCTGAAAAAGGTTCAGTGTAACCTGAAAGAATAAAGATGCTCACAAAATTTGCTTTATTTGGAACTATGGAAACACTTAAAAGGACGAAGAAGACAGAAACCGGGAAACACTTGATCACTTGGTGCTCAAACTCCGGATGACGTAGGGAAGAATGCCGCCATGGTCATAGTATGCCAGTTCCACCTGCGCACGTTCCAACAAAACCAAGTCTCAGACGAAAATAAATTATGGTTTTAAAGAGTGAGCTTTTAATTTATTTGCTTATATAGTCTACCTCTGTATCAAACCGCAGAGTGCAAACAAAGGATTTGCCAGTGTCTGTGGTTACAGTGACGTCTTGACCAGGTCTAATGTCACTGACTTTGGTTGGAAGGTGGACTGTGTAGCGTTCATGGCCAGTCAGTCCAAGGGTTTCTGCATCCTCACCGGCCTTGAAACACAGTGGAATGATCCCCATTCCAGCCAAGTTGCTGCGGTGGATTCTCTCGAAGCTCTTGGCAATTACAGCTTTCACTCCCTAATTTGTGGGTTAATTCGTTAAGGGTTTCACAGGACATGACCAAAATCTGACGACTAATGTAAATTATTAGTGTAAAACTTACCAAAAGCAAAGGACCCTTTGCAGCCCAATCCCGAGAGCTACCACTTCCATATTCAGCACCAGCCAGGATGACCGTATCCTGTCCATCGGTCTTGTATCTCTGCAAGTATATGTGGTTTGAGTGAACAGTTAGCGACCTAATGAAGGATATAGTTGAAACTTATTGAATCTGTGTGAAAATTCTACTTCTACATACACTTGCTGCATCAAAAACACTAAGTTTCTCTCCAGTCGGAATGTGAACAGTCTTGGGGCCAACTTCTCCTTTCAAGAGCTTGTTAACGATACGAATGTTGGCAAATGTACCACGGGCCATAATCTCATCATTTCCCCTTCGACTTCCGTATGAGTTGAAGTTTTCCGGATCCACACCACGGTCCATTAAAAACTTTGCAGCAGGACTACTTTTTTGAATGTTTCCTGCTGGAGAGATGTGATCTGTTGTGACACTGTCTCCAAAGTTCAATAAGCAGTACGCATCCTTCACTTCACGAGGACCAGGTGGATTTGCGGTCATATTCTTGAAATACGGAGGTTCGTGAATGTACGTGGAGTTTGGATCCCAGGAATATAATGTCGAAGTCGGTGCAGAAAGATCATTCCACAAGGGGTTTCCCTCTGTTATTGTCTCGTACGAGTTCTTGAACATGCTTGGTAACACACTATATTGAACAACCTATGCAACAGTACCAGGAAAGTTGGCAAGGAATGGTAAAGATATCAAAGATAAAAATGTGAAGAACTTATCCTCTAAAAGCATGTGTGTGACGTACCTGAGCAATTTCCTCGTTGCTTGGCCATATGTCCCTCAGGTACACACCTTTGCCATCTTTTCCAGTTCCTATAGGCTCTTTCTCGAAATCAATGTCAACCTGTCATCACAGGAGTTCAATAATTAAAAAACAAAGTTGAGATAGTTAAAGATAGCTGGAAACTTTCGATTAGCAAATCTATACTACTCAATGTTGTTAATGAAGTAAAACGATGCCACCCAATTAAGGATATCCAAAGGAGACAAACACAAACATCTGCATTTCAAGCTATAGATCCCAAAGGTCATGACTGAAAGATGAAAAGTACAAACCGTTCCGGCAAGGGCATAAGCAACAACTAATGGTGGTGACGCCAGATAGTTAGCTCTTGTTTGTGGATGGACACGGCCTTCAAAGTTTCGGTTCCCAGAGAGCACAGCAGCCGGAATGATATCTGTGACACGAAGGAAGTAGAAGGGAGCAACCATTAACTGAGTTCAATTTGATGAGATAAAATGCACTAATTCATCGGTGGGGAAACGTAATTTTGACGAGGATTCCTTGTGAACTGAATGAAAATGGCTACAGGAGATTCCAAGAGACAAAAACAAAAAAAGACAAAAAAATGATTATGCGATTTCATAGTATGTTCATCATATGCATGAGGATGTTTTTACCAGTTCCTTCTATAGCATCTGCAACTGATTTTTCAAGGTCGCCAGAATTCCCAATGCATGTTGTGCAGCCATAGCCCACAATTTCGAATCCTTGGTTGGTCAAGTACTCTCGGAGCCCACTGCAGAGAAGATAAAGGTTCAGTATGGATGTTCTGGATCAGATAAGTTATCCAGATGGAAATATCATTAACTCCAACACACCTTCGATCCAAATATTTCTCGACAACTCTAGACCCTGGAGCAAGACTTGTCTTAACCCATGGCTTTACCTGAATCGAAACATCAACAACAATAAAAAAAAAAATGATTCATAAACCACGCGATGTCAGGGCCAAGGTTGTGGAGCAAAGGTAGAAACTCACCTCCAGGCCAAGATCAAAAGCTTTTTTTGCAACGAGTGCAGCCCCAATCATGACACTAGGGTTTGATGTGTTTGTACAACTCGTAATTGCCGCAATAACAACACTACCATGCTTGATCTCAGCAGGTTGTCCATTGTAGGAGAACTTCACAACTTCTTCTTGTTTTTCTTTTGGCACTGCAAAACCCTTGAAGACAAGAAACAAAGTCTTACAGATAATCCAAACAAAGGAAATCATCAAACGTCATTGGGTGTTTAATGATTTTCTTTTTTTAACCACAAGTTGCGTCTCACCTTGAATCCAACAGGATTGTCAAGGCATGCATGCCAGTCAGCCTTCATATCTTTCAGAGGCACTCGGTCATGAGGCCTGTTGAACAGAAAATATAATAATGAAAAGGAAAATTAATCAACATAGCAAATCGCGAGCTTTAGGACGAAGGTAAGGGCGATAGGTCAGAACTATAAAAGGAAGTGGAAGTATACCTTTTAGGCCCAGAAATACATGGTTCAACATGTCCCAAATCCAATTGCAAATATGATGTGTATGCTCTTTCTTGCTGGGGCTGCAGTAATAATTTCCATATATTTGGGGTTGAGAATCTTGTCGAAATAAAAAAGTACAATAAACTAATTGAAGGATTTCCATACCTCGTTGTAGTCAACGAACATATTGTTTGCGCGCAAGTAGGACTCTATCATTGACACCTAAATTAACACCAAGTTTGTCCATCAAGTGAGTCATAGAAACCAGAGGAAACATCATAGATAGCTTGTTAAAATGTTTAGGTAAAAGATACTGAAAAACTGAGCCACGTGATATAGCATTCTGAAGAACAAAACCACCTGAGTCTACGGATAGCTAATTATAATGTTAAGAAAATGAGACTTAATGCAGCAATGGTCAGCCTCAATACACGTAAACCACAAGAAACCAGAAGTTGAAACTTCTATGCATGATTTGATTTGACCAAAAAAGAAAGAATGGAAAAAAAAGAGTGAGAGAGAATTCACAGTTTCATCGCTTCTTCCTGTCAACTTCAGGTACTCCAATGTAACATGGTCCACTGGGAAGAAACCCATAGTTGCTCCATACTCGGGAGACATATTTGCAATTGTAGCTCTATCAGCCAGAGAAAGTTCACCCATCCCCTCACCTTCATATCGAAATAAAAAAGACTAAATATGTATTGACCAACTAATTGTCCACAGAAATTAAAAGTCTTGCACCGGCACGGTTCTCACCATAAAATTCAACAAACTTGCCGACAACCCCATGCTTCCGTAATATTTGGGTAACAGTGAGAACCAAATCGGTAGCGGTAACCCCTTCCTTTAACTTTCCTTCCAACTTAAATCCAACCACACCAGGTAGCACCATGCTCATCGGCTGACAAGTTTTTGAAGTACCATATCAGTGGCCAAGCAAATTTTACC